TGAAGGTTGTACTATACATGCTGTAATCTGAAGGTTGTACTCTACATGCTGTAATCTGAAGGTTGTACTCTACATGCTATTCTCTATATGTTGTACACCATGACTTTACTCTAAAGACTTTACTCTACATGATGTGCTCTAATGGCTCTACTCCAAAGGCTTTACTCGAAATGTTATACTGTAAAGAAGTACTTTACCATGCTGTGGCTCTATTCTACTGGTTATACTCTACTGACTGTATTCTTCATGCTGTACTCTGCTTGCTCTACTCCACTGTATTCTACATGCTGTACTCTGCTGACTGTATTCTACATGCTGTACCCTGCTTGTTCTACTCTACTGTATTCTACATGCTGTACCCTGCTTGTTCTACTCTACTGACTGTATTCTACATGCTGTACCCTGCTGACAGTATTCTTCATGCTGTACTCTGCTTGCGCTACTCTACTGTATTCTACATGCTGTACTCTGCTTGCTCTACTCTACTGTATTCTACATGCTGTACTCTACTGACTGTATTCTACATGCTGTACTCTGCTTGCTCTACTCTACTGTATTCTACATGCTGTATTCTGCTTGCTCTACTTTACTGACTATTCAAATGCTGTACTCCACTTGCTGACTGTATTCTACATGCTGTACCCTGCTTGCTCTACTCTACTGTATTCTACATGCTGTACTCTACTGACTGTATTCTACATGCTGTACCCTGCTTGCTCTACTCTACTGTATTCTACATGCTGTACCCTGCTTGTTCTACTCTACTGTATTCTACATGCTGTACCCTGCTTGTTTTACTCTACTGTATTCTACATGCTGTACCCTGCTTGTTCTACTCTACTGTATTCTACATGCTGTACCCTGCTTGCTCTACTCCACTGTATTCTACATGCTGTACCCTGCTTGTTCTACTCCACTGTATTCTACATGCTGTACCCTGCTTGTTCTACTCCACTGTATTCTACATGCTGTACTCTGCTTGCTCTACTCTACTGACAGTGTTCTTCATGCTGTACTCTGCTTGCTCTACTCTACTGTATTCTACATGCTGTACCCTGCTTGTTCTACTCCACTGTATTCTACATGCTGTACTCTGCTTGCTCTACTCTACTGTATTCTACATGCTGTACCCTGCTTGTTCTACTCTACTGACAGTGTTCTTCATGCTGTACTCTACTTGTTCTACTCTACTGTATTCAACATGCTGTACTCTGCTTGCTCTACTCTACTGACTGTATTCTTCATGCTGTACTCTGCTTGCTCTACTGACTGTATTCTACATGCTGTATTCTGCTGACTGTATTCTACATGCTGTACTCTGCTGACTGTATTCTACATGCTGTACCCTGCTTGTTCTACTCTACTGTATTCTACATGCTGTACCCTGCTTGTTCTACTCTACTGACTGTATTCTTCATGTTGTACTCTGCTTGCTCTACTCTACTGTATTCTACATGCTGTACTCTGCTTGTTCTACTCTACTGACTGTGTTCTTCATGCTGTACTCTGCTTGCTCTACTCTACTGTATTCTACATGCTGTACTCTGCTTGTTCTACTCTGACTGTATTCTACATGCTGTACTCTGCTTGCTCTACTCTACTGACTGTATTCTTCGTACTGTACTCTGCTTGCTCTACTGACTGTATTCTACATGCTGTATTCTGCTGACTGTATTCTACATGCTGTACTCTGCTTGCACTACTCTACTGACTGTATTCTACATGCTGTGCTCCACTTCCTCTACTCTACTGACAGTATTCTACATGCTGTACTCTACTGACTGTATTCTACATGCTGTACTCTACTGACTGTATTCTACATGTTATACTCTGCTGACAGTATTCTACATGTTATACTCTGCTTGCTCTACTCTACTGACTGTATTCTACATGCTGTACTCTACTGACTGTATTCTACATGCTGTACTCTACTGACTGTATTCTACATGCTGTACTTTGCTGACTGTATTCTACATGCTGTACTCTGCTTGCTCTACTCTACTGTATGCTGTACTCTGCTGACTGTATTCTACATGCTGTACTCTACTGACAGTATTCTACATGTTATACTCTGCTTGCTGTACTCTACTGACTGTATTCTACATGCTGTACTCTACTGACAGTATTCTACATGCTGTACTCCGCTTGTTCTACTCTACTGACAGTATTCTACATGTTATACTCTGCTGACAGTATTCTACATGTTATACTCTGCTTGCTCTACTCTACTGACTGTATTCTACATGCTGTACTCTGCTGACAGTATTCTACATGCTGTACTCTGTTTGCTCTACTCTACTGACTGTATTCTACATGCTGTACTCTACTGAATGTATTCTACATGCTGTACTCTACTGACAGTATTCTACATGTTATACTCTGCTTGTTCTACTCTGCTGACTGTATTCTACATGCTGTACTCTGCTGACTGTGTTCTTCATGCTGTACTCCGCTTGTTCTACTCTACTGACAGTATTTTATATGCTGTACTCCACTGACTCTACTTTACATGGTGTACTCTAAAGGCGTCGCTTAATTGTTTTCTCCTCCATTTTCTTGGTATCTCTTATTTACTTCCCCAAAAATGTCTGGGCTAAGCATAAAATAGTATATCTCTTGTGAATAAAAAACAAAACCACAAATCAAAACAGAAGAGTTAAAACTGTAATATAGAAAAATGTTTACAGGTCACATGAAATCTTTAATAACATGTGCACAAATGATTGTGAACACATTACATACAATTGATCAATATCACACAAATGGATTACTCAGTGGTATCACACCATACCTCAGTCACTATAGCTACACTATACAGTACAAAAGTCAATAAGTTATGTGTAGTACTGGATAGAATAGCAGCAAAAAAATCAATGTCACTGTACTGGTCCCAGTTCTAGTTAGATCAATGTCACTGACTGGTCCCAGTTCTAGTTAGATCAATGTCACTGTACTGGTCCCAGTTCTAGTTAGATCAATGTCACTGTACTGGTCCCAGTTCTAGTTAGATCAATGTCACTGTACTGGTCCCAGTTCTAGTTAGATCAATGTCACTGTACTGGTCCCAGTTCTAGTTAGATCAATGTCACTGTACTGGTCCCAGTTCTAGTTAGATCAATGTCACTGCACTGGTCCCAGTTCTAGTTAGATCAATGTCACTGCACTGGTCCCAGTTCTAGTTAGATCAATGTCACTGTACTGGTCCCAGTTCTAGTTAGATCAATGTCACTGTACTGGTCCCAGTTCTAGTTAGATCAATGTCACTGTACTGGTCCCAGTTCTAGTTAGATCAATGTCACTGACTGGTCCCAGTTCTAGTTAGATCAATGTCACTGTACTGGTCCCAGTTCTAGTTAGATCAATGTCACTGTACTGGTCTCAGTTCTAGTTAGATCAATGTCACTGTACTGGTCCCAGTTCTAGTTAGATCAATGTCACTGTACTGGTCCCAGTTCTAGTTAGATCAATGTCACTGTACTGGTCCCAGTTCTAGTTAGATCAATGTCACTGTACTGGTCCCAGTTCTAGTTAGATCAATGTCACTGTACTGGTCCCAGTTCTAGTTAGATCAATGTCACTGTACTGGTCTCAGTTCTAGTTAGATCAATGTCACTGTACTGGTCCCAGTTCTAGTTAGATCAATGTCACTGTACTGGTCTCAGTTCTAGTTAGATCAATGTCACTGTACTGGTCCCAGTTCTAGTTAGATCAATGTCACTGCACTGGTCCCAGTTCTACTTAGATCAATGTCACTGTACTGGTCCCAGTTCTAGTTAGATCAATGTCACTGTACTGGTCCCAGTTCTAGTTAGATCAATGTCACTGTACTGGTCCCAGTTCTAGTTAGATCAATGTCACTGTACTGGTCTCAGTTCTAGTTAGATCAATGTCACTGTACTGGTCCCAGTTCTAGTTAGATCAATGTCACTGTACTGGTCCCAGTTCTAGTTAGATCAATGTCACTGCTGTGCTCCCAGTTCTAGTTAGATCAATCGCACTGCTGTTGTCCCAGTTCTAGTTAGATCAATGTCTCAAACTGGTCCCAGTTCTAGTTAGATCAATGTCACTGTACTGGTCCCAGTTCTAGTTAGATCTATGTCACTGTACTGGTCCCAGTTCTAGTTAGATCAATGTCACTGCTGTGGTCCCAGTTCTAGTTAGATCAATGTCACTGCACTGGTCCCAGTTCTAGTTAGATCAATGTCACTGCACTGGTCCCAGTTCTATTTAGATCAAAGTCACTGCTGTGGACCCAGGTCTAGCTGTTTTGTAGATGAAGCATCACTGTTCTATTCTAGCATTGCTGTTTGGGCCAGTTTTAGCATCACAACTTTGTTAAGATTAGCATAATGACTTAAGTTATATAAGTGTCACCTCTCTTTTCAGATTAGCCTCACTGCTCAACTCAGACTAGCACCACTTTAATCAGATTAGTGCCACTACTCCCATCAGAGTAGAGTCACTCCTCCCATCAGTGTAGAGTCACTACTCCCATCAGTGTAAAATCACTACTCCCATCAGTGTAAAGTCACTGCTCCCATCAGAGTAGAGTCACTGCTCCCATCAGAGTAGAGTCACTGCTCCCATCAGAGTAAAGTCACTACTAGCATCAGTGTAGAGTCACTACTCCCATCAGTGTAAAATCACTACTCCCATCAGTGTAAAGTCACTGCTCCCATCAGAGTAGAGTCACTCCTCCCATCAGTGTAGAGTCACTACTCCCATCAGTGTAAAATCACTACTCCCATCAGTGTAAAGTCACTGCTCCCATCAGAGTAGAGTCACTACTCCCATCAGAGTAGAGTCACTGCTCCAATCAGAGTAGAGTCACTGCTCCCATCAGAGTAGAGTCACTGCTCCCATCAGAGTAGAGTCACTGCTCCCATCAGAGTAGAGTTACTACTCCCATCAGAGTAGAGTCACTACTCCCATCAGAGTAGAGTCACTACTCCCATCAGATTAGAGTCACTCCTCCCATCAGAGTAGAGTCACTGCTCCCATCAGAGTAAAATCACTACTCTCATCAGAGTAAAGTCACTGCTCCCATCAGAGTAGAGTCACTGCTCCCATCAGAGTAGAGTCACTGCTCCCATCAGATTAGAGTCATTGCTGTTATCAGATTAGCGTCACTGCTCCAGAAGCCACCAGCGGTGATATGGGTTTATACTGCATGATGTGCTGGTCACCTTTCTGAAAGTCCACAATCTCCTCTCTGCAAAACAAAAACAAATGCAACCACTGGTCAGTGCTAGAATAACATTTACTTATCATCTTACCTAGATATCACATGGCAACCATATGTCAAGTAGATATCTACAATGTGACATGTATGTCCTGTGTCTATTTCTTTTTACAATATAATCGCAGAAATGAAAATAATGAAATGGTGATTGGGAAAAATATTATAAAATATGAAAGTTTAAAAATTATGGTCATAAAAATTGAATATTTTTTATATTTAGATTTTCTGTCATGAAATGACTGTTGGAAATGGCATGTATGCCTATGTTTTCTAGCATTAGACTAGCTAACCTCAGCCAATAATGGTCTACAACAATGCATTTTCTTTAAAAACAGGAGATAAACTAACATCACCGTCCACACCAGGTATATGGCAGTTCTTTATAGACAGGAGATAACAAACTGTCTACACCAGGTATATGGCAGTTCTTTATAGACAGGAGATAACAAACTGTCTACACCAGGTATATGGCAGTTCTTTATAGACAGGAGATAACAAACTGTCTACACCAGGTATATAGCAGTTCTTTATAGACAGGAGATAACAAACTGTCTACACCAGGTATATGGCAGTTCTTTATAGACAGGAAGAATGCCTTTCTATAGCTGGTAAATTTCTTCAAATTAAAAATGACAAGTTGAGGTAAAAAGGTAATGATTTTACATCAGGAATGCAACTGAAGTAATCTTATCAAAGGGGATTACTGTTCAGGACGAAAGATCTGCTTATACACTATCATCACACCAATGAGCCCAGGTACACTGTAAAGGACCAGACTAATTAATGTCTGATATAGCTGTCACAGAATCAATACACAGACAACTGGTTCCTCAGGAATCAAAAGGCCTAAGGGGCTTGTAATTTTTACCTGTTATGTAATAGTGTTGGCAAAACATATCTTGGGAAAATACAGCTTGAAACATTCGCAATTTTGGCATTCAATCACAGGAAATGTGATTTTGAAGATGGTAAGGGTCATCTAGCACTTTACAGCAGATATCTGAGATGATAAGACTACAGACTGCACAGTGATGGGTAATGTCATTGATCACTCCATTAATTTCTTTGGATATATTTGGTTACTTTGGTCACAGTACAATATGATCCTATTCAACAATAGCCGTTCCCAGAGTCCTTGTATGTCAATGAGGGCCTGTATCATTCACCTGGATATTTAAGTCAATAATGCAAAACTTTACATTCCATTGGAAGGAAAATGTTTTACCTTGGACCTTTAACATTTTCAAAGCTGTAACTGGACACATTATACTCATTATCATATTAAAGTTACACAAATGTAATTAGTACTGACCTTATTCAGGGTCAAGATCAGGTGACTAGGATTTGGTTTCCTAACTAAGACAGCTAGAGTATTGAAATTTCAGGCTAAATAGAGGTCAGGATCTATGGCTTATATAAGGTCTCCTGTACCGTTATAGATGGTGGTTATAAAACTGACATTGGAACAGGACAGTATCAACATTACAAACAATCCTAGACCACAACCTCAAATATCTGGATCTGGACATATTCTGGATCAAAACATATATTTTAGTCAGCTGTTCCCATAAAATGAAACAATAAAATTTCAAAATGATATGTTCAGTTACTTTGAGTTGAAATTTGTCATTTAGGTTCATCAATTTTTTAGAATGGAGAAAAAAATTTATAAGAGCATGAGGATGTTTTGTATGGATCTGTCCTGATATTCCAGTAGGTGATACAGCTATATCACACACCTCTCTGACCTTATGGTACTTAACAGGAACACAGACAATGTTAATCAGAAAAAAAAACACCTCATAGGTTATATTTAGCCTGATCTTGAACTTGAGAGTGCAGACAAACTGAACTTGACCTAAATGTGTGTGGGTAGAGAGCGAGCATGTAGTCTGTGTGTATCAGTGAGTGAACACAATCATGTGGCCTTAACGTTTGTAGGCACTTTATAATACTTTATTAACTGGTAGTTTCTCCTCCTCCCCAATAACCAATTACTGGTAGTATCTCTCCCTCCCAAATAACCAAGTACTGGTAGTATCTCCCTGTCAACAATAACCAAGTACTGGTAGTATCCCCCCTCCCAAATAACCAAGTACTGGTAGTATCTCCCTGTCAACAATAACCAAGTACTGGTATTATCTCCCCCTCCCAAATAACCAAGTACTGGTATTATCCCCCCTCCCAAATAACCAAGTACTGGTATTATCTCCCCCTCCCAAATAACCAAGTACTGGTAGTATCCCCCCTCCCAAATAACCAAGTACTGGTATTATCTCGCCCTCCCAAATAACCAATTACTGGTAGTATCCCCCTTCCCAAATAACCAAGTACTGGTAGTATCCCCCCTCCCAAATAACCAAGTACTGGTATTATCTCCCCCTCCCAAATAACCAAGTACTGGTAGTATCTCCCTGTCCCAAATAACCAAGTACTGGTAGTATCCCCCCTCCCAAATAACCAAGTACTGGTAGTATCTCCCTCTCCCCAATAACAAAATACGATATAAGATCTCCCCCTTTCTCTCCCCAACATATGACATTATATTTGTCTATTTACTCAGATACTCAATCAATACAACCAATTAACATTTTATATCATGTATCAACTTAACTGTTCAATGGTTAAATATTGATATACCAACCTGCTGTCCCATTACAGCAGTACTAAATAGCCTTTGATGTGAAACAAATATATATAGGTCTGATAGATGGGTTGTGAGCCTGATATCTAAGGGTTTGATTTTAGACAGACATATTGCATTATTTTTCAACATAATTCTCTTCAGTATCTATAAACTTTTGCCAACAATATTTATGAGCCTCAATGCGACTTTTTCACTGTAGTATATGAAGGGACATCATTCCCTAGTATTGCTACCATATCAGTATGGATATCCTTAGATGTAAAGACCTTTCTTATGCAAATATTGAATCACTGCTCTTTCAGCAATTTTGTCGATTTTGTAAAAGTCACCTGCCTTAAAGCTTCAACTAGACTTCAATGAAATATCTACATCCAAGCAGAAAAAGTGTGATTTTAAACTCTAAGCTCTATTTCCAATATTGGGCCCTACTCTTCTACATGCAAACCCTTGACTTACATAAAACTCATCACCTGAGCATATTTGAAGCAAAACGTACTCAAAATACTTTCATTGAAACAGAAAATGGATTTCAAACATAACACTTATCTATACCCTATTGGGACCTCCCCCTTAGACCTATGGAGGGTGAGACCTATTGTTCTTACAAAAATAACTCACCATCACCCAGGTGTCAGAATGTGTCAGACCAAATTGGACAAAATCTCAACATTCCTACAGAAAAAAGAGGATTTTAAAGAATTTGCTAAATTTCTTCTTTAAGGCCTCACCCCTCAAGCCCTAAGGGATCAAGAATCACCATTGATACAAAATCCGTTCCCATTACCCCACAATACTTTTGAACAAATTTAGCCGGAATACCTTCATCCAAACAGTATAAGGAATTTGAATAGATTTCTCCATTTTCCCTTTTTCCCTGTCATTTCTGTCAGAAGCAAAATTAAATTCGATCTATTGCCTCAGTCTCCTTGGGGTTCAGCCCCACCACTTGTGAATATCAAACACCCAGGACTTCCATTCTAATCAAAGTAAATGAATATGTCGTATGAAGAAATTGTAAACCTAAAAATGGTGAACTACCCTTTTGAACCAGGTGAGCTACTAACATAGTTAATTATACTGACAGTATGGATGAAACCTTTTCACTTTTTTCTTCACATGTGACTTGCTGAATATGTTGGGCCACTCAAGCTATGCTTGCTATTTATCAACTTAATGAATAAAAAAGCAGTCTATAATAAGATACCTTCATAATGACCACAGGTCAGTACTGGTCAGTGGAAGTAGTGGAAACAAGAGAGATATAGTAATTACTGTCACATGATGTAAACTGCTGGCTTACGGCGCTAAGATGTTATGGAGTCAATGAAACGTAGAATCTTCACATGTTGTGTTTGTGTGATGATGAGAAACCTCTCAGGAAGTTATCTGTATATAATCACATGTACCAAAAATACACCTAGCTGCATGTCTAATAACGTGATAATATAGGTACATTATTTCCCCCTCAACCATCCATACTATGCCTTATTGTAACACTGTAAACATCTTACAAACCTGTTTTATAATGAGACTAGATTGTTGGAGCTTATTTGAAATATAGCCACACAAATTCTGAAGACATGCACAAAGGAATCAGATTTCAATTAATTTATAAAGTTAGTATCTGATAGATATAATTGTGGAATCTGAATGAGGTCATATTACAATGAAAGTGCAGTCTGATGAATGCTTCCCTTTTGTCCATTACCAATTATCTGAAATAAAAACTAAAGATCCCTGAGGAATCATGGCACTCACTCGGGCGAGAGAAAGGCATGAATACTAATAAGGGGCTTTAGGGGTGGAGATATGCTCAGAACAAAATGTTTGTTTACACAAGGTCAAAGATAAAAGATATAGGTCACAGTGACCTTATTACGTCATGCAAATCACCTTTTGCCTAATATGTTTTAATACAGCAAGTTTGGTGATTCAACATGAATGAAAAAGTCAGACTTGCCAGAATGTACCCACTCACCATGTTTGATGTTCCTATATGAAAAAAGTGTACTAGATATGCTCTCAAGGAAATGTATACCACCAACACATAGCAAAAACAAGATGGAGGCCATGGTAGCCATCATGACAAAGCAGCATAATGAAAATCACTTAGAACTAGGGACCAAGGAGAACACATTATTATAATCTTTATGTATCACCTCTTACACTTTTGGTGAAATATCTATAACAAATTTTACCGGTCAAACCCCAATATGACCATGGTGGTTATCTTAAAAATCAAATCAATCTGGAAACATACATAAGGATGAAGGAACATGTGTACTGACAGATTACAGGAGATCCTTAAGACTGTTTCAGAGGA